CCCTCCCTGCTGGTGCAGCCCAGCCCAGCTTTACGGACCTCTGACAGCCTGCACCCCACTTTGGGCCCCACTGGTGCTGGCCCTGAGACATTGGTCCCAAGACATTGGGACGTTGGTCCCAAAATGGTGACAAGGGGGCGGGGTGCCTGTCAAGGGGTGAGGTACCTTTCAAGGGGTGAGGCTACCCATGCGGCCCTCAACAGCCTGCCAAAACTGGGGAAGCGGCCCTCTGCTCAAAATAATTGCCTGCCCCTGGTTTAGATCCGTTATCTGACAAGGGTATACCTTGAGAGGAAACATACAAGAATCATAAACAGTGAAGTAATGCTGGAACTTGAAACCAGATACCAAAAACAGACCACAACTGGTATTGCTTCCTCTGTGGATGGCACAAAAAACCCCACACCACTATTTATTGCAGAAGTGCTCGCTACCATCCTGAATTACAATAACTCTTTGCCAGGACTGGTAACAAAAGGAAAGACTAGAGACCATGTCTAGGCAAGCATGGTTTCCTCAGCTCAACTTCTTTCCTTCCTCTCCCTGCTTATATATTGCAGCACTGGTTGCAGACTGTATCTGAGGTTATCTTGTTTACTGCTAGCAGCGTTCTGTGCGAGTGTGAAGCTCAATGTGAACTAACTGCTAAAGTATTTGCCTGTCATCTCAGGTGCTTTGCAATCTGTGCTAGACTTGTTCTGCCATGGCTATGCTACCAGCAGTAACCAAGGTAGCTGAGAACGACTTATATTTGCTCATGCAAGCTGCAGTGTAGATGTACTTGACAGGATGCTTCGAGTACTTAATAACCTAAGTAGGATTCCTTTCTTTCCACTGTGAAGTTTTCATACTAGAGGGGTCCGCTGTTGCTAGTATTAAGACTAGATTTTAGAAAACATTGTTGCCAGGTCTTCTGATTCGTAAAATTATGAAAACGTCACTGAATGCATTAATTTTGTCTGTGCTAGAGTTGCTTTAAAAAAAATTAATTAATGTTGGTTGATCTTTTTTCCTTCCTTCTTTCGGCAGAGGTTAAAATTTGAAATAGCAGAGGTTATGACAGAAATTAATAACTTGACAAGTGTGGAAGAAAGGTGAGTAATTTTGACACGTCAATTTAGAAATCTGATTCTGGCATAGGTATTCTAGGGAGAACAAATAAAAGATGGTTTGGTTATATTTAACAGCTGAAAACTCCATAAATTTGGCTCAGCATTGAAAAGTCTGTAGTATCAATTCAGAGGTCACTCAGTCTCTCCCTTGCACTTGCAGAGGGATGAACTTTGTGATGGAAAAAGTCTGTTACATCATTAATAATATGATCCTATTAAGCCTAAGTGCTGGAGCCCATATACAGGCCAGTCTGGCATGGGCACCACATTCAGTACATGCCCAGACCAGCTCCACACGCTGTGTGCTGTGCATATCCCAGACCAACCCTATATGTTGTATGCAGCATGCAACTCACACTGGCCTCATGTGACACATATAGTGTGTGCCCCAGATTGGTGTGGCCTCTGGATATGGCATGTCTCTGAAACTGGCCCCCATGCTGTGTACAGCATGTACCAGACTGACTTGATGTGCCACATGCAGCATGTGGGACTAGGGCTGGTGCATGCTGCGTGCCACATACAGGGTCAGTCTGATACTCATAGGCATGGACTGGATAATAGGGCTGCACAGCTGTATCTTTGACATCCCTATATTAAGCTGTTAAAACTTTAAATAATTTAATAACATAATATAGGATGTTTATTATCACTTTTTCAAATAAAATGCCTTTGTTTTGGGATTTTATTTTTTGACCAGAGAAAATTTAAATGTGAAAAATAAATTTACAGATATAAATTTAAAAAATGAAGTTTACAGTGATTGTATTATTAACAGCATCTGGTAATTGCTTTTTTATTCCTTCAAAACAAATAGCAAAACTACCCAGAGAAATAAGCAAATAGCAATGGGAAGGAAGAAATTCAATATGGACCCGAAGAAGGTAGAACATTTTGTATTTGTTACAATTTAAGTTATTCTTGATGGTTATATTTTTTGTAAATGTATTCCAGTTGTTGGTGATAAAGTTACATTTAGTTGTGCATCTGAAAGTTCTCCTAAATTAATCAGGCACCATATTCATTTTGAAGAATTATGAAGCATAGTTAGGTCCCAAATATACTTGTCCATCTTTACAACAATGAGCAGAAAAAAATGATTTTGTCATTTGTCAACTAGGTATAGTGCTCCACTTAAGTAAATGTTTTATGTTTTCTAATTGGAAGTAAATATGGTAATACGGTAAGAGATCAGTCAAAATACTAACTACTAACTGCAAGCATTCCTTAAAGAGACCTGATTATACCTGATGTAGAGGTTTTATATTTATATACTAAACTGCAAAAAAGTTTGTACTCTTTTTCCCCCCCAAATGATTTCAAATCTTATGTTTTTAGTTTATGCTTACAAGTAACTGTTCATACAAACTATTGTATTTGTATATACACGTGCTGTTTGCACATAAATGTATATACATAACCACATATATACATAAATGTTCTTAGTTATTTCTACATTTAGATAGCACCTGTACAAGTAAATTCAGGTTGAAATGTGAACACTTTAAAAATAATTTTTAGCTTACTGTTTCAAGAAATGTATGTTGAAAATGTAGGTTTTAGAGAAACATTGTGGTTTCTTTGCACCAACGTCCATGTCTTCCTTAATCAATGATTTTTTTCCATAGTAATTCGCTGACCTGCTAAATCTCTTCCAGACTTCTTTTCTGATATATTGAAAGAAACCGTTGTTTTAATGTCTGGCTGTTTGGTCTTCATATTCTCTTTTTTTCCTTCCTAATATTTGTCTTTTTCATCTTTCTTGCTTGTGCTTGTGCTTGTGCTTACTGCTTTTTCTTGCCTTTAATAAAATTGAACTATGACTTTGAGGAGGTTATTTATTTATTACATCTCTTCTTTTATTTTTTCCAAAGCTTCCCTACTAAGGTTTATTTTTTCTCTGTTTGTTTCTGGTAAATTTCCTTTGCAGCTGTGTTGAATGCAGTTACATTTTGATGGTTGTTACTTAAGGTCCCCTCTGCTTGTGAAGGTAAAAATGTGATGAGATCTAATGCATGATCCACACATTTGTACATACATGGCAGGAGGTGCACATTAGATCCCATTCTGCCCTATGGTACAGGGGGAGCCCAATCCCAGCCTCTCCCAGCACTGGTAAGAAGCAAGCACCTGTGGCTGGGAGCCCCTCTCACTTGAGAGGCTCCCAGCCATGGGGGTTGCCCCATGTACCCCCAGGGCTAGAGGATCATGGTGGCTGCTATCTCCCAGGTGTGGGGAAGTGTGAAACCCCTGGGCCTGGGGGACTGCGACTTCTACAATCTCTTAGGTTCGGGGGTGCGTGAAACCCCTGGGCCTGGGGGATTGCAACTACTGGCTGCTTGGGTGCTTCTGGGATCTTGAGTCAACAGCTACTGGGGCTGAGAGTCCCTGCAGCTGTGGGACTCCCAGCCCTCCCAGCCCCGGCTGGGCATGGTGCACCACTGTGTCTCGGAGCCCCATCAGCTGACAGGGCTCCCAGCTGCAGGGGAGACCCTGTTGCACGTGCAAATTAAATCTGTACAGCAAATAGCTATAATATTATTACATATTTTTGAGGTCTAACTTGAGAGCTGGTTGGAGCTTTTTATGGCATGATAGTTACTTTGCACACGTAGCTACTTTTAAGGTAATTGCGCAATTAACCAGTTAATTGCATGGTGCCTGTAACATGTAGAGGGGGCCTTAATGTTCAACTGAAGTATTATCTTGAATAACATTTTAATGTATTACTTAGGGTAGTCTCAAGCTGTCATGCTTGTGTGTATGTGTGTGTGCATATGCTACAGCTCTTTATTTAAATTGATTCACCACCATTCTCATTTTCTGAATGTTGTGGGAAGGATTTCTTTTTCTTGGGGTAGCTTATCTTCTTCAGGTGTCCTCTTAGTTGTTTTTCTTACTTTCTAGATTTCTGATTAAATCACAAAATGACTTCAGGTGGCCTTATTACAGTGTTAATTATATTTCATTAGTAGGTGAAATTATTCCTGTATCTAGAAGTCCTGGCTGGGCTACCACATTAACATGGCTTGCATGTAAGAAATGGTTTTACACATTGTTTCCAAACCATATGTAGAACAGTGGTGATCTGCAGGAGCTGCTGGTCCCTTGGAGCTGGCTCATCCTTTCAACTGCTATGTTGAATTAAAATTAGCAAAAAAATACACTGAATATCTTTCTAATATAGGTGTTTTGCTCTTGCTGTTGTTGCAATAAGGATGTTTTTACTAATAAGCGGGAGAAAGGTGCCTGCATGAGTGGGAATGTGGAAAGCAGGATAGTTGTGTGAGTAGCAAGGCCACCCAGTGATCTGTTGAATGTGATTCCTGCTAATCAAAATTTAAAAAAATTGAGAGCTGCAGTTAGGATTGGTACTGTGCAGCTAAAAAGTAGTCTACTGGTGTTACTAATAATACTGAACACATCTATGGATCTGTTTACAGCCTTTATCTCTGTTTGTAGAGTAGTTGCATGGAAGCACTTGGGTTTTGATATTGTTTCATATACTCCAGTTACAGTTGCTATGTATAATAGCTTTCAAACCGGTTTAGCTTTAAAATAGTGTGTACAGTGCTGCATATGTAAAGTTTGTAAAATGCTTTGGATCTTTACGTATGGAAGGCACAATGGAACATAAAGTCATACTTGAAATTCATGGCATGGGGGCTTGAGACATTTCCTGTTGTACTTGAAAAGATCATTTTTCTTGGAAGGGACAAAAGTTTAACTATAAAACTTAAAGCTGAAATGCAAAACTGGTTTCAATAGAGAACACAGAAAATGGAAATAGCTACCATAGAACGATCAAAATAGCTCTTTGTAGTAAATATAAAATGTCCCTGTAACAATGTGTTTTATATGGAGAAAGCAGTCAAGTACTGTTGTCTCCCATTTTAAACTGGTCAGCAGAAGAAATGTAAAGAGATAAAGCCAAGACTGAGAATCATAAGTAGGTTCCAGCCAGGCCATTTGATTCACTTTTTCCAGACACTGCTACTTCCCAGACAGATCTTCTATTCCTGTCTCTCTGCCTATTCTTCATCATTTCTTTTTCTGCTATAAAGGAAAATGGAAATTGTGTCTGTTTTGTAGTGCATTAAGATATCTCTGTTTCCATGGAGAGTAATTAATTTTTGATGGCTAATTTGGCTTTCCAGAAATGGGATATTATTAGCTCTAAGAAACTTTCCTAAGCGTAAAGAAAAAAAGTAGGGTAAATGGGATAGCTTTTTACTATATCAGTTTAATTGTGTACGTTTAAAAATCCATGTTGGAGATAGCACAAGTAGGCTGGAATTAGCTCAGTCATTGCAACTATGTATTCATAATTGTCTGATCCTACTGTACTTGTTTTGTTTAGAATGAAAACAAGAAAGCACAAATTCCTTCAATCTTGTGAAAGGTATTGTTCACAGCTATAAATAATGATAAGAAAGAAAAAAATTAAAATATAGCAATTCCTTCTTAAATTTGCTAAGCCGTGTGTCCTCAGTTGTGCCTCATAGCAATGAGTCCAACAGGCTAGCTGTATAGTGCATCTGGTTTAAATTTGCATCTTTTTAGTTTCATTAAATTTCCTGATCCCTCTCTATACTGTTATTTTATACCTATAAAGTTTTCAACTTCTTCTTACACGAAAGCGTTTCCAAGCCTCTATAATCATTTGCATCACATTTCTTGGAATCATCTCTCTTATTGTTATACTGTGTTTTTTAGATAGGCTGACCAGGACTGAACACAGTCATAGATGCATTAAAAGAAGAAAATTCTAAGAATGCTTAAGAAAGGGAATCTGAGGCTCTGCTGCTGACAAGCAATGTCTCTCTATAAATATCAGTGAAAGAAATAGATCCATTTTCAGAGTGGTCATTGTTTCAGAGTGAAGCACAGCTATTACTACAACAGGATAAATTTGTATTTTTCTTTGCAGCAATCCTGGCTGACTCTGGAAGTTTTTCAGATGGTGAAACTATTTTGAGAGTTGTCAGCCAGGCTAAAAAAAACCTTTGGGACTGATACCATGACAATAGGTTTACTCTATTAAAGCCTACAATACACAAGATTGAAGGAATTTGTGCTTTCTTGTTTGCATTCTAAACAAACAGTCAGCAAGCGCAACTTCCTTGCAAGGCAGGTAATTCATTCATTGTAAAAACAAACAGAAGTCAATCAATCTTATGAATATTTTAATATTTTGTGTAATGGCTTAGAGACTGGAAGCCCAGATTAGAAGTAGGGTTGCCCTGTTTCTCCGTGAGTGATCTTACTGGGCCAAGAAAACCCACTGAAATAAGGCTAAGTGCAGACATTTGCTGGAGTTAGAGGGAGGTTAATTTGCATTAAAAATGGCCACCTGATCTTGGTTGGCCCCCAATGCGGACATTTAAACCCAGTCTCAGTGATCAGAAATCAATCTAAACCTGTGATGCTACAAAATTTCCATGTACATAGACCACTCTAAAAATGGCAGAACCCAGTCTAAGATAGTCTTAGATCGGTGTACACTAAATGGATCTAGGATTAAGGATTGTGGACTAAATGGATCTAGAATTAAGAACTGTGCCTGCTTCCTGCCCTCCCCCGCAGTCACTGCCTGCCTCCCCATCCCCCTGATCACTCCCACAGATCTCACCTACCCTCCCCCACCATCCCTCTGCAGATCCCACTTGCCCCCCAATCCCCACATGGACCCTGATTTTCCTCCCCACCCCAGTCCGCTTGTCCACCCTATCGCTGCTCTGCTAGTTCCCCTATCCTGACTTTCCTTAGATCGGGTGGCCATTTTTAATGTGATTTAACCTCTCCCTAACTCCCCTGAATGTCTGCACTTAGCCACAGTATCGTCTTCTCTCTTCTTCCCATTTCCCACAAGAATGATGGAAGTTTCATAGATTTCATAGACATTAGGGCTGGAAGGGACCTCGGAAGATCATCGAGTCCAGCCCCCTGCCCAAAGGGCAGGAAGTCAGCTGGGGTCATAGGATCCCAGCAAGATGAGCATCCAGTTTCATCTTGAAGGTGTTCAATGAAGGCGCTTGAACCACCTCCGGTGGCAGGCTGTTCCAGACCTTGGGGACTCGGACAGTAAAGAAATTTTTCCTTATGTCCAGCCTGAAACGATCTTGAAGTAGTTTGTGACCATTCAACCTCGTCATCCCTTGGGGCGCTCTGGTGAACAAACGTTCCCCCAGATACTGGTGGTCACCCCTGATAAACTTATAGGTGGCCATCAGATCACCCCTGAGCCTGTGCTTTTCCAGGCTAAAGAGCCCCAGGGCTCTCAGCCTCTCATCGTAGGGTCTGCTTCCCTGACCTCTGATCATGTGCGTGGCTCTTCTCTGGACTCTCTCAAGCTTCTCCACATCCTTTTTGAATTGTGGAGCCCAAAACTGGACACAGTACTCCAGCTGCGGCCTCACTAAGGCCGAGTACAGGGGGAGAATGACGTCCCGGGATTTGCTTGAGAAGCATCTATGGATGCAAGCCAGCGTTTTGGTCACTTTACTAGCCGCCGCATCGCATTGCAGGCTCATGTTCATCTGGTGGTCAATGATGACCCCCAAGTCTCTTTCTTCCATAGTGCTAGCCAACATAGCACTGCTGAGTCTATAAGGATGCTGCGGGTTTTTTTTCCCAAGGTGGAGAACCTTGCATTTATCGGCATTGAAC